AAAAACAATAATTTAGGAGGTTGGAGAATCCCAGGGAGAAATACAGACAGTGACAAGAGAATCTAACTGTGTTACAAATATATGAAACAACCTCACCGAAGGGAACTAGAAGGGAAAAGTGCTGCTCTACCTTTGGAAAAGAGAGGAATCTGTAAGATTAAGGCAACAGGAACTGCACATGAGCACTGTACCCTAGTTGATAAAATTGTTTCTCATGGGAATACGGGTTAGCAATTCTGATATTGGTATACAGCTGGCCTTCGGTATCTGCGGGTTCTCGCATCTGCGGATTCAATCACCCATGGGTTGGTTGAATCCGCGGATGTGGAACCTCCAGATATGGAGGGCAACTAAGGAACTTGAGCATCCCTGGATTTTGGTATCTGTGAGAGTCCTGGAACCAGTCCCCCACCATACCGAGGGATGACTGTATATGCATACTGGAATGGAACAATTAAGTAAATAGATGGCAGATGGTGGGAGCCAGGTTACCCATTGTTGGGGTAGGAGTTTACAGATAGGCAAGGGGAAGAAGCTAGAAAAAAGTAGGAAGCGCACACACAATAATACATACACAACTTTGTACACTGAAGGTATTATTATTTATACATATTACTTATGCCCTGCAAGTATTGTTTTTTATACATAAAGTACTATAATTTTCACATTATTTCATGCATAATTCAGACCATGTACTTCAGAGGTGAGGAACAAATCCATAAAGCTCAGAACATTTTCAGATCTAGCTTTTAACCCATCTGTCTGTCTTCTGAAGTGATCGTTTAATTTGTCTGGACAGATTCTGTTCTGTGGTCTGTAGGAGCTGTGTACATCAGAGCAGCTTGTTAAAAATACCTAAAGCAAAGGAAATAGGTTATTTAGAAGATAAAGTTTAAAAATATAACATTTACTGCTCCTAGGTAATGCCAAAAACTGCAGAGAGAAAGTAGATAGAAAGTGGAAAATTCTTCTTTTGTTTGGGATACTACTAAATACCTGGATGTTTCCAAATAATCACATTTTTAGTACAATATAGACCAAGCATCTGGATATTTGAAGTTTTCTCTTTCCAGCTGATAGTGTTGATATGGTATAGACATGGCAGAGCCTCAAAATTAAATTATTTCCAAATGCTTTTAACAGCATTTAATTAAAAATAAAATTTCATTCAACACCACCCTCTCCACCTTCTTTTACGTAGCCTACTTTTCATATCTGCAGGAAATAGGGGAGAGGGTGCCAAAAAAGAATCTTTCTACTTCCCTTCAAATCCACAGAAGGCCTGATGACTACATACACAGAATTTGGGTTTCAGACACACTGTTAACTTGCCTCTGTACACAGGCAAATAATTTGCCACAGATTGAAACATTGCTCTGTTTAAATCAAACTTCCTATCTATTAATAGCTGTGAAACACTAGAAATATTACTATACCAAGAAAGCATTACGTCTGTTCAAATCTTTTTAAAATGAAGCAAGGCACAAATACTCACATACATAGTTACATATGTACATATATAACATTGCAGAATTTCCTTTAAGAATTTAAATAGCAAAATGAACAGTTTGAATTGATTTGAAGATAGAAATATGGACCAAATGAATTTCTAAGAGTCCTTCATATGCCAAGATTCCGTCATTTTACTTGTTCGATTTATGTCCACACTTTCCTTTATTGCCTTTTTACTGACAGAAGCAATATTTCCTGGAGTCATTTATCTACATGATAATTTTCTGCTTACCTCTAGCATCCCTCTGCTCTCTCTCCACCCCCACCCATACGAATACATGCACAAACGGTTGCAAATAGTTTGGGATTTGCAGGGCAAAGGAAATGAACATCAGATAGCATTTTTCTTTCTTTCTTCTTTCTTTCTCTCTGTCTTCTTCCTCTCTTTCTTTTTTCATATTGCATGATCCATTCATCATTCTGTACAATTAGACAAATGAAAAGATATCTTTCTTTGACTTGATTTGCAATTCTTTTCGGATTCATTATGTGCACGGCTACAAGAAAAAACATGGTACCTTTGGGCAGCATCTGATTCGTCAGGAAATTCCTCCTGCCATGATGCGGGGGTGGGGAGAATGTGGGTGATGTGATCCAGATGCATGCACTGCCCTCCACTAGTAATGCAGATGTGTTTTATATACGCATGCCCAGATGGTGACCCCTCTGGCATTATTAATGTGTCCCAGCTGCCAGGCTTCCTCCTTTGCAATGCATGCACCTCAATTTCACATATTTCATGTGTTTATTTATGAGGCACAGCATTCCTACATTTCATATGTGGCAGTTACTATTAAAAATGAGACGTTTTAACTGCCCTGGAAATTGATAAAGAATCTTTTAAATTGCTATGAAATGTGGCCTCCATTTTAAAATGACTTCTCATACAATTATTGAATTCATAATGCAAGTTTCTGACCTTTCCTCTTGTATGTTGAGAAAATATGTCACTAGGTATACCCTTTAAAGATCATTAAGAAATTAAATATTTGCATACATAATACATTATAATGATTTTTTGCTTTCCATTTATTTCTAATCTCCAAGGTCTAGTTTTAAAAAGTAGCGTGTCTATACATTTGAACATTGTTATTCACCGTTAATTAAATCCAGGCATCTAGTAAGAGAAATTTGGGATCTTCTAGAAATGGGTTGTACTTATAAATCCACAGGGAGAGAATTAGTTTTATAAAAGTATGGTCCAATCATCGCTTCAAACTATCGTAGATTGTAACTCCAAGGATTTGAGGAAGTGGATTAGTCTTCTAAATTTTGGCTTATAATCTAAAGTAAAAAATAGAGGAGCACAGTACTGTCACTGAATTAAAATGAACTGACAACTTTTTATTTTACAAAACTTCAGCATTTTTATGGGGAAAATGTAAAGATAATCAAATTCTTAAAACAGAAAGATGAAAAATGCAAATGACAGATGATTGGATTTTGAAAGATAGGGTTCATGTCTATTTCCTTCTTTAATGTCAGAAGTAATGAACTAAAAAAAGTCAAAATCTATAATTTACCTTAGATAACTATCTGCATATTCAGCTATAGAAAATAAATGACCAAACTACTGATGAGATTTTTTAAGGGGCTTCACACATTTATTAGCAACAGTTGCTGATGCTGAGTGCTAAGGTAAGCGTATCTTGAGTCTTGGTTACCTGGTTTCTGGCCCTCATGAAAACTATTCTACTTCCTTAAGTAGAGCCTGTTTTTCCTGTTTGGATAGATATATTTATCTTGATTTCATAAATAAAGGTGCAAACTCATCATTAGCTTTGACCATACCCACAAAGTAGCATGGAAAATTCAAGCAATTATCTGACTAACTCAGGCAAGAGTAAAGAATATTTACTCTTCCCTGAAAATACTGCCTGGAATTTAAAAACAAAAAACAAAGTAAGTTATAGATATTTTTTCCTGAACCCCCCAGATAGGTACCTCAAACTTGCTGCATGTGTGTTTGTGTTTGAATGCGTATGTATAATAACAACACTAGTGTTCTCTGAAAGAAGATTGACAGCAGCTCTAAGAAGACTTCAGATCCAGGTCATTATGGGGATGAACCAATAAAAAGAGAATGAAAATCCTCTAAATGTCTTCTTATTTGACGTGGAAAGAAGAATGGCTGTGGCCTTGCCTTTTTCATTTGCAACTTGAAGTCCTCAAATAATTTTGGTTATTGACCTTAAGAATACTAGAGCCAAGACCTTATTAAAGGATCCAAAACTATAACCATAGTCTCGTTTTTCTAAGCCACCTCCTTTTATCACAAAGATGAAGAAAGTAAAGTCTTTTTTATACTCAGATGACAAATACGTGGCATGTGTGCTCTCACAACTCTTTCCACATTGATGGCAGACATAATTAAGTGATCATGATACTCTTTACCACTAAACCAGGACCCAGGCTCAGAATCCTGCTCAGCAGAGCATTGCCAGGTGCCACTACCAATTAAAGTCCACACCTGAGACAAAACCTCTTTGCCATCCCCCTCTTATATTGGTGCTGAGCGAATAATAGGTGGTTAGTCTGAATGTGATTAAAACATAAAAGACCAAAGGTTACTGCTATTGTTTTAACCTATTTGCTTTTCACAAGAAAGGTGAAGAGCTGGTATTAGGCCTGATCCAAAGAGTAGGAGAGTCACTACAGTAACCATATCAAGTCATTGACCCACAGCCCATCAGTGCAGTCTATCCTGCTTCCTGCCATGTGAGAATGAGGCCAGCCAACTTGAAGAACTCTGTGAAGGATTCAGGTCAGTGGTACAGGCCACAAAGGGGTTACACACAGAGGAACAGGAAAGAGTCTGATCTACATCTTGGGCTGCCAAGATGTAGGCACCAGTAACTAAAGAGGAAAGACAAGACGCAAAATGATGGGTTGCAAGTCCAATCAGCAGAGGCAAGGTAACCCCACAGTTGGGATTTGAGAGTTAATCTGCAGAGTGCACTGGGACAGCAGGCAGAAGAGGTCCCAGAAGCTGCCCGGACACCACTTCCTCCTTTAGCATCACTGTGCATTTGCACACGTGCATGTGGCAGTAACAAGAGCCCCTTGGCTCTGTACAGTGCTGTGTCCAGAGCATGTTCCTGTCTGTGATATCGTTGATCCCCACCTCAGTACAGGGAAGCAGGCATTGTTATCCTCAATTTTACAACTAAAGTGAGGCTCACGTGTCCAAAATCACATAGCTGTTGAAGCCTAAAGTTGCTTTCATCTGAAACACCCAGAGGAAAGGAGGTGACAGAAGGTGGATATTCTGGATTATATCCCATTCGAATTTTCAGACAACTGTGCCAGTCTGCTCCATAACTTTGCATGTACAGAACAGCTTACAGTGGGATGGTGAACCAATTACACGTTACAGACATGATGGTGAGGGTGGTTTCCCCAGAGTAGCTTCTGAACCGTTTAATAGTGGACATGCCATTCTGGACCCTCAGTCATTGAAAGAGACTCTCTGTTCATTTCTCTAACAGCTGGTGACCCTGTTGCAGATGTGGGTTGTCCCTTTGTATTTCACGATAAAACTTTACTGGTGGCGGTTTCTGTCTATGTGGGGAATGTTCTCGGTTATTACCAGTTACATCCTCTTCAGAGCTACCCGCAAACCCCTGTCAGGGAGAACACCACGGTATGTATTCCATTCATTCCTTTTGCACCATCCCTTTTATTGCAAACAGTAAAAAGTATATTTAATTTCCATTTTCCTGGATGCGGGAGGGGGGTGCTACACTTCTTTTGCTTTTAGTAGCAAAACTATTTGGAGATCAGCTATGCTACTGTCAGTTCACGTTCATTATTTAATGGTGATTTAGACATGCCTGCAAAATTTATTATTTCAGATATTAGCTGGTGAAGGCCAGGAGAAAGGGAAGTGAAACTAGTGTTTACATTTTCTAGAGGACTATTTGCAGGTTTATTTTCAGCTCAGGCATTTTGTTTTATTCCACTGTAAGTTGTGTCACACACACTTTAAAATAGACCAAGAGTTGGAAGTTTGTATTTCTAACAACTATGTATGTATTTTATGTCTAATAAATCATAAGTAATGGACGGCTCATTACTCTCATAATGAATGAGGATTTCACATTCCAATGATCTTTTTAATTACCATTGCCAATCTCTTGATATTTACATAATTCCATCATATCATTCACAAATCTTTCCAGTGGCTTATAATCACATAATGTACCCATAGATTTGCTCTCACTCTCCTGTGTTCTTTAGACAAGTTGTTTTTTTTCTTTGTGAGGAGGACCAGCCCTGTGCTAACATCCAATGACAATCCTCTTCTTTTTTCCTGAGAAAGACTAGCCCCGGGCTAACATCCATGCCTATCTTCCTCTACTTTATATAGGATGCCACCACAGCATGGCTTAACAAGCTGTGCGTTGGTGCGCACCCGGGATCCGAACCGGTGAACCCCGGGCCACCACAGCAGAGTGCACGCACTTAACCGCTTGCACCACCAGGCCGGCCCCTAGACAAGTTCTAAATTCAAATCCCGATAAAACTGATGAGATAAAGAGAAACTGTGTAAGGTATTAAATGGTAATAAGACAATGTCAAGTTTTGATCTTCACTGGAGAATAAACCATAACTCCTGTGAAATATTTTTATGATTATTTAGCCATTCAGATATTTATTTTTAATCCTCTAAAAAGTGGGAGAGACAAATATCAACTTTTCCTTCTACTTTGGAGAAGGGAAATATGCAGTGAGAGAAATCAGATAAATGAAAGTAATGATAAAGATTGAAATTCAAATAAATGAATTCAGGTTTATGAGTAATCCCTGTCTTAATCCCACTTTGTGAAGAGCTTTGGGGTGGTATTAGGAGACCTTCTAACCTGGCCAGTCTGGACTTTTAGACAGCTGTCGTATGGCCTGGTTTCCCCATCAGTAAATGGACCTATGGCACCTTTTCTCCTTCTTACAAAATGTTGTAAGTTATTTAAGATTTGTGAATTTCTAAGTTTTGGATGAATGGAAATGTACTTGTTTTCGTCCCCTGGGTATCATCTATGTTGTATTTCAGTGAGAATGGTTCACTTTTCCACTGTATAACGAATTACCCTAGCTAAACGCAGTGTTTCTGTGCACATCAGCTCATTCAATGCAGAGGAACTTCATTACAAGAAATACTCAAATGCTGCCGTGTTTCGCTCCATGGCTCATGTATCTCAGATGGCCAGGGTCCTGTGCCCTCTGCCTCTCATGCCCACCGTGCATCCACTTCAGCTTCGTCTTGCCTGCACAGCTCCAAGCCCGGACGTAGTCTGAGAGCCAAGATGTTCCACTAACATTTTAAGCAGACCTAGCTGCCATTTGAAAAGATGACAATGGGAGAAGCTAATTAGGGCCCCATCTCTTCTAGAAAAGCAGCCTGGAAAAAGAAGCTCCTCTTTATGAGAGGTAGTAGGCCCTAGAGATCTTTACGTATCTTTGCTTAATCATCATATTATAGGTAAGTCACTCTTAGCTATTTTCCTTTTGGAAAGGGAGGATTTCATTACAAGCTAGGAAAGCTGGTCAGAGCAAATGGGCACAGTGCAAAAAGCAAACCCAAGAGGAGTCGTCTCCGGCACCAATGCAGCTTCAAAACCAGCTGTTCCTCCCCCAAAGTATACCAAGCTCTCGCTGTGGGACAGAGTAGCAGAGAAGGGGAAGTGGGTTTCCTCTCTACTACAGTTGGGTTATCTGTCAAGGAATGTTCAGGCTCAAAAACAAGCCACACACTGGCCACAAAGAGCTGGGCTTGATCACATCACTACCAACCAAAGCCAAGCTGTCCTCTGTGGAGGCTGCTCTGAAGCTCGAACACAATTTCTAATCTGGTAATCTGAGTAGCAAAGGAGTTCTGGACTCTAGTGTTCTAGAAACTTGTACCACCAATAAGTAGGAAGATTCCGGGCTGGGGGGATTTGGGAAATCTAACACATCCATAACAATGATATGACATACTGAGCATTTAATGTGCCAAGTCTTTTAAACATGAATCTTACATCATCTTCAGAACTACTGTCGGAGCTAGTGTGATCTTGGCGTCATAAAGGAGGCGATCATAGGAAGAAAAGCTCAGTGGGGTGGCCAAGGTCCCACAGGCAGTAAGCGGGGGAACCCAGAATCAAACCAAAGACCACTAGAGTGCAAAACCTTGCTCCCAACAGCAGGCTGTGGCTTCATTACATCAACAAACTGCCGCACAGAGAAACTCTGCACTTTAAAAAGTTGTAAATCAGAACGTCTCTAATACTGGCACAACTTTGAGGGGGGCCCCTCAAGACAGAGAGAGTACGTTGAGTATGTGTGGAGCTCAAGGAACCCCACGCTGGTACTGGCCGGTGTGGCGGGGGTGGCAGTGGGGGGATCCTCTCAGAGTTGGCTGCTTTTCCCATCGTCACCCTTTTAGCAACACAAACTTCCACCTGATCTGGCTGTACTGAGCATTGATCCAAACTGCTCAGCACTGGCAAATCAAAGGGACTGACGGCCCAAGGAGTCACTATGGCAGAAAGAACCCCAAAAGCCCTTTCTGGCCCCCTTTAGAGTTGACGTAGCCTCACGGGTATTTGAGCCACCTGTGCAGTCCATGTGAGTTTCCCACTCCATGTAACTCTGCATTGCCGACCCCTCCCAAGGGCAGGACTACACCTGGAGGAGGAGATGCCACCCAGATAGCCCTGTATGTCAGTTGCTTGAAGTGGGGAGAGCATTTCACCATAGAAATGATGTAAATGACAACTCATTTCTCAGACCAGTCCACAAACCCCCATTTAAACGATAATCAGTAGCGTATAATCAGATAATGATTAATATATATATTATAGTGTATAAATGATAATCAGATAATGTTTCAGAAGGTCCCTTCTGACTGGGATTCAATGAAGAACATCTTTTAAAATAACACTGAAACATTACATCAGTAATATCATAGAACTTATGCATTTGGTGCAATGGCGCCAACTGGAAGGAAGCCAGGGAAGCTGAGACAGTTGGGGACAGGGCTCCTGGGGTTGGAGGTGAGAGGGTGAGGCCAAGTCTCTGGAGCGAGATTGAATGGAGTTTGGGGTGAATGCAGGAGAGGGGCTTCAGGAGGATGTGGAGAGAAAGGGCTGAGGGGCTAACAGGGCCTCCTGCCATTGTTCACCCTTGTGAACAACATTCCAGACACCCCCTTATCTTCCCTGGGCACCAAGGATATCCCCCCCTGCTGCTCCTTCTCTTTGCACCACCTCTTCTTGTTCCAGTGGGCAGAGCCCTTGTACTGTGGTGCACCAGGAATGGAACTGGGCTGCCAGCCTCTTCCCACATTCTCCCAGGCATGAAGCAGCCAAGTGGCTCTTTCTGTAATTTTTCTGAGGGCTTTTACTGCCAGGGATCAGGGAAACAAACAGGGTACAGGGCTCCTTTCTAGATTATCTCCACTCTCGCCCTCCATCCCCATCCTCTCACTTCTCCACTTAGACCCTGTGGGAAGAAGGAAGGGCCTTAGGAGTGGTCAGGGTGAGTGCTGGGGCACACAAAGGACCCGTCCACACAGCAGGAAAAAACAAGGCTGAAGCGCTCTTGTAATTTCATCCCAGGGCTAGGGGAGGGGCTTTTTGAGTGGAGAGGAGATGGGATGAGGGCTGGGCCTGCTACTGATATCTGCACTGGGGCTGAGGACAGCAGGAGCAGGAGGGAAGAGAAATCTCAAGGGAGGAGGTGTTCCCTCTTGACTTCTCTTCCCATCTTCTCCTTGCCTCCAAGGTACTCCTACCAAAACCACTCTAAGCTAACCCCAGGGCCAAATGAGAAAAGGAAGGGAGGGGGAGGCAGGGTCCCAGCTAGAATAACCATTCCTGAAGGCCATTTTACATGAGGAACATGGATAAATTATAAAGAACTTATACCTGCATATAGATAGAAAAACATGTGCAAGACAGTACTATTTATATATTGCTTGTTGATAGTATATTAAAATTCTAGATTGTTATTGAGTTTAGCTGATATACTTATGCTCTGTATATTACATAATTAATAGAATTTTAGAAACTAAAAACTGACTTACAACAATGTTTGAAAAAGATAAAATACTTCATATTATGTTATGTGTTTCTCCCCATTTTTCACTCCACAGATTGGTCTACAAATGGTTTCTTCTAATCTACAAACTCAGCTATGCATTTGGTGTTGTGGGTTATTTGGCTATCATGTTTACAATGAGCGGATTCAATTTATTTTTCAAGTAAGTATCTCTAGTTAGGACATTAATATTTCCAAACATTTGCTTGTAACATTCCCCTGGTCAAGTTCTCTGTATCTGGAAGTCGCATCTGGCCCTGTAATTTTCCATGCACACATTGTTTATAGTAGATATCATTGGTATAGTAGATGTCCCCTGTCCCTCTAGAAAAGGAAGAGAAAACCTACAGATTAAAAAGTTTTCAAAAAATTATAAGCATTAAAGAGAATCTATACTTGTTCTGCAAATTTAAAAGATCCCTGTTAAAAGTAGGTCTATACTTGTGGCCTAAACTACTAATTACTAAACTACTAATTTCCCTTCCACAAAATTCTGAAGTGTCATTTCCTTCGATATATCTTTTTCCTTAAAACCTCTAGAACTATGCTATCTAATACAGTAGCCGCTAGCTCATGTGACTATTAAGCAGTTAAAATATGAAATAAGATGCGATGTAAGTGTAAAATACATGCTGGATTTTAAGATAGTATGAAGAATAACTTTTATATAGACTACATGTTGAAATGATAGTATTTTGGATGTATTGGTGAAATTATTTCATCTGTTTCTTTTTACCTTTTTAATGCAGCTACTAGAAAATTTAAATTTTTCTATTTATGCCCAGTCTATATTTCCACTGGACAGCACTGCTCTAGAATTTTGTGTTTGGTACCCATGAAATCCCTTTTGCTGGGGACAGAAAAGGAGGAAGCTGAGTGCTTAGAAATTGAAAGAGAGATAAAGAGAGCAAGAAAGTCTTGGGAAAAATAAAGGAAATCTGGATAATAATATCTATGATTCAGAACTGCGCTCCCATTAGGAAGATGGTTGCTGAGATGTGCTGTGGATGAAGGCAGAACTGAGGCTGTGTAATCAGCCAGTGTTTTAGAAAGGAAATTTAAGGCATATCACAGAGCTATGGAAAGCAGCTCAAATAAAAATTCCCCACAATATCTCTTACCTCAAAGTTACACTAAATCTCTGGGACCTTAAGTGAAATTGAAAGGCAGAGATAGGCAACCCTTAACTCATAAAATAAGGAAGGGAATTGGATGGTGAGCCAGTCCTGGGGGAAAGGGTTTTTCGTCTGGTAACAGAGAAATCTGATTTTATAAGCATTTCATGAAACTTTCAGAGAGGGAGCTCTTACCATTTTCTAGCAGGAAAGAGAGAGAAAATAATTGTACAGATCTATTATTGCTAGTTTAAGATACAGAAAGACACTGATTTCTTTTTTCAGCATACTGTCTATATTACTTTATTACAGCATATGTAAAAACATTCGAAAGAACTTTTATGAAATCATTTGGGATTATAGTTGTCCCAAGACACTATCCATAAGATTTTAAGATCCTTAACCATGAATTCTCCTACAATGAGGCATGCCAAGAACTTAACCCTTCAGACTGGAAAGAAACTATTTTTTCACTACTAATTGTTGTTGATCATCACTGTATTAAGATTCTTTTCTGTGGAACCACAAGTTACTATACTTTTTATCAAAAAGATTATAAATACATGGTCACCTGGACACGGAGGGAAGGTAATCTTCATTCTTCCCCATGACCCCAATTCTCAAATATACCTAGGCAATCTTGGAAGGATGAAGCCACCACCTGTGTTGGAATTCCCAATTCACATCACCAAAAGATCTGTACCTTGTAAATCTATGAAGCTCCCTGCCTTTACCATTTCCCCCTCAAATTACCAGAGCACAAAAACAACTAGAAGAGGTTTCCAGAGACAGACTACCCAAATTCTCTCCACTCTCCACTCCCTTCCCGACTCAATCAGATCCACCCAAGTCCACTGCTAGTATCTGAGAGTGTTTACAGATATAGCAAACCAAATGTGCAAAGATTAACATCCAGAAATTAAATTAGGAGCTAATTATTCACTTTTTAAAGAAATCTTTAAAATCTAAGCTCTATAGCAGGGATTCTCAACCCTGGCTGTATTGTAGAGTCACCTGAGCAGCTCATTTAAATAACACTGCAGTCCAGACCTCAGCCCAAGCCACTTAAATTAGAGCCCCTGAAAGCTGGTTTATGTATCAGTGTATGTTTAAATCTCCCCAGGTGATTCTCATCTATATTAGGGCTGAGAACCATTGATCTATTAAGAGGTTCTTAATGTTAGCTGCCCATTGGAATCACCTGGGGTCTGGAGCGCTTGCAAAAATATTGCTGCACAGGCCCCACCCCCAGAGAGTCTGATGTAATTGGCCAAGGGTGCAGCCAGGGGTTGGAGATTTTTACAAGCTCCCCAGGTCTTTCTACGTGCAGCCAAGCTTGAGAACTGCTGGTTAGAGTCAGCTTATCTAAGCACTGCAGTCTTAAGAGAGTCGTTTCAAGACTCTGTAAGAATTACTTTGTCCACTTAGCACTGACTCGTAAAATTTGAATGAAATTGACAGAATTTTAAATTCTTTCATTTAAAATAAGAAAAACTAAGCAAAGCAATGAAAAAAAAATACCCCCAAGATTCTGTTAGATACTGTGGCAGTAAATACTTTCCAAGCTAGAGCTCTCCCCAGCCCCCCAAATGCTGCGTTCCTATTTCCTTACACTGTTGATTTCAATAGAATCACAGCTAGAGATTCCATGGATTTTGGCATTGTGTCCTTGTTCTATGGCCTCTACTATGGCGTAATGGGGAGAGACTTCGCAGAGATCTGCTCGGATTACATGGCTTCTACTATAGGGGTAAGTGTTGCTTTCCTTCTTTGAAACCATCTATGGTACATGGAGAAATGGTTTCATCTCACACGTTTGCATCCATTTTCAGGAATAGATAAGTCTTTTTTGGTTCTCCCAGCACAACTGCTCCCTGGATTCACCTTGCATCAAAAATTGTCTTTGCTAATTAATTAGAAAATACATTTCTTATTTGTATAAACTGGTTGGGAAATAAGGCATCTTTTTAAATAAAATATGCAATTATTTGGAAGTTACCATGTCTAGCATTCTCCAATTGCCAACATTTAAAGGATTAGTAAAAATTCAACAGTAACAAAAACACTTTATCTCTACCTAATGCAAATAAAGTCATATTTCGTGTACGTAAAACACTTTAGAATCAACCTGTGGCTCAGAGTAATACTCATGGTAAAGATCAGTCATCATTATATAGCATTTGAAGAAGTAGAAGATATAAAAAGTGTGCTAAATGTATTCTGACTGTGGATTGTTCCCTGGAATTTAAAAAAAAAAATCTCTAATGGTTTTTTTTTTTTAACTCTCTTAAAATTAAAACTCAGAATGGACATACTTTCTGGTTAGATGCATTCCAGACTCAGATATTAGGAGCATTCATCTGTGTCTGACACATGCACATCTCTTAAAAACTTACAAACTAAGGGCTCCAAGGATGACCCAGTGATTTCAGGAATTCTGCATCTCCATCCTCTACTAGTCTCTTGGTACACAGCCAGATATAAAGTAGAAAAACTAGTGTGAGTGGCAAGGGAAGAGTGAACTTCAGGATTGTTCTCTCTCTTCATTTACGGGGCAGGACTAAATGCACATGACTTTGACTTCATCTCCACCCATCTGCCCTTCCCCACCTCCATAGGCTCCACCTTACTCTTTTCCTAGAGCCTAGAATGCAACTGTGGTGCAATGCTGGAACAACATACCTTTTGGAATTCCTCTGCCGTGTATCATCTTTGGGACAACTGCCTTTTTTATAAGGTTTAAGGTGAGCACAGGAGGGAGCATTTTCACTCCCAGTTCCTCCAACAAAAACCAGAAGCCAAACCCCTTAGAAAATTCCCAAAGCTTCTTGTGCTTGTTTGAGGACAGGAGAGGAAGAGAAGAGTTGTATGTCCTCCATTCTCCAGTGGACCAGGAAGAAGAGATTTAACCTGGCAAGACAACCAAGTCTTTAAGCACCAACTTTCTGGAGACTTCTCATCTGATCCCACCCCACTAGTCTTCATCTTCTTGTCATCCTCTGTTATCATCACGCCAGCTATGAAATATATAAAACCCACTGCCACAAGCCCATTGGCACAGCCTCTGGTGACTTGAATTGATGGTGTGTGTGTATGTGTGTGTGCGTGCACTTAGGCACATGCTTGTGACGGAGGTAAGGAGGAAGCAAAGGAGGAGCAATCTCCTTCCTCACACCAGTGTCTAAGCTCCGCACCACTAATTAAGTCAGAATCTCTGGGAATAGAGCCAATGCATCTGCTTTCTTTTAAAAGCTCCCTAGGAAAAGGAATGAGCCATGCAAAAACATGGATGACTCGTAAATACATATTGCTAAGTGAAAGAAGCCAGTCTGAAAAAGCTAAACACTGTATGATTCCATTTATGTTACATTTTGCTATCAACATGACTTATCCCTGTTGATATTAACTTTGATCACCTGGCTTGAGGTAGCGTTTGTCAGGATTCTCCACTGTAAAGCTCCTCTTTCTTTTGCTCCTTTCTATGCTGTACTCTTTGGAAGGAAATCACCATGACTAGCCTATGCTTAAGGAGTGCTCCACCTCTGTATCAGTCAGGGTTCTCCAGAGAAATGGAACCCATAGGATAGTACACACACACACACATATACATATATTTATATGTATATATAGAGAGAGAGATTCATTTTAAGGAATTGAGACTGGCAAGTCTAAAACCTGTAGGGCAGCCAGCAGGCTGTAAACTCTGGCATGAGTTGATGTTTCAGTGTGAGGCAGAATTCCTTCTTCTCAGGGAAACTTCAGTTTTTGCCTCTAAGGCCTTCAAATGATTGGATGAGACCCACCCATATTATCAAGGGTATTCTTCTTCACTTAAGGTCAGATTCACTTCAGGTTCATCACATATACAAAATACCTTCACAGCAACATCTGGACTAGTGTTTGATCATGCAGCTGGACACCACAGCCTAGCCAAGTTGACACATCAAGTTTAACCATCACGTCTTTCTTAAGAGTGGCATATCTACACAAATTATGTGGAATTTTTCTGCATAGGAGATTTTTCTGTCTATTTATTTAATTATTTATCTATATCAATATAGACTCATGGATATTTATCTAATACTTGGGGTTATGACCCAGTATTACTATTACTACTAGTACTATTTTGTTGCTCAAATTGTTCCAGCTTTGGCCATTGGGAGCTCTTTCAGTTGGCTCTTATGTCTCTTTGACATACTCACATCATTGTGGGGGTTTCTTTGGTGTGTGTTTTTTGGGCACTTCCTTACTTTCTGACACTACAAGATGCTCCAGGCTCGTGTTGTATATTTCCTGCAAAGACCTAGAATCAGCCATTTCTCCAAGGAGCCCTGGTTCCTCTTATTGTAGAATGGTATTAGAAACCAAGATCTGGGCACTAGGTGTGCTCTCTAGAGCTTCTTAGCTGACAGAGCAAGGAAATATATCTGTATATAGTAACCCATGTATATGGACATATCTATAAATATTTCTATATGTATTCATCTATATTAAGATACATATAATATATACTAAGCTAAACACAAGTTCAGACTGATGTCTTCAACTCTTATTCATGGCTACATGGGTCATTCTAGCCTTCTCTCCTGGCTTGTCTATAACCTTCTGAGAGTGAGATACATAGCTCCCACTATCGGTCATCCATTTCCTTAGTTGTTCAATTCCAGAATACATGTATAGTGGTATCAGCATTGTTAACCCATAGCCCTGAGAGAAACAACTTTATGAACTAGAGTACCGTGCTTATGGACAGTTCCTTTTGCTTTTAATCTTGTATCTCCACTATGCTCTGGTGTGATAAGAATGGCACTTACCTCTGTTGTCTTCCTCCCTAAAACCCATAGCGCCAGTGTAATCAAGAGAAAAATATCAAATAAATCCCAACTGAGGAACATTCTACAAAATACTCCCCAAAACTGTCAAAGTCATAGGAAAAGTGCAAAGTCTGAGGGGTCGGCCCGGTGGCGTAGTGGTTAAGTTCGCCCACTACGCTGCAGCGGCCCTGGGTTCACAGGTTCAGATCTCAGGTGCAGACCGACACGCCACTTGGCAAGCCATGCTGTGGCGGGTCCCATATAAAGTGGAGGAAGATGGGCATGGATGTTATCCCAGCGCCAATCTTCCTCAGCAAAAAGAGGAAGATTGGCATCAGATGTTAGCTCAGGGCCGATCTTCCTCACCAAAAAGAGGAAGATTGGCATCAGATGTTAGCTCAGGGCCGATCTTCCTCACCAAAAAAAAAGTGCATAGTCTGAGAAACTACCATAGCCAAGAGGAGCCTAAGGAGACATGACAACTAAATGGTATCTTGGATAGGATTCGGGATCAGAATAAAGACATTAGGTAAAAACTAAGGAAATCTGAATAAAGTATGGACTTTACTTCGTAATAATTTGTCAATGTTGGTTCATTAGTTGTGACAAATGTACCATACTAATGTAAGATGTTAATAGTAGGGGAAACTGGGTGTGTGGTATATGGGGTCTCTGTACTATCTTCATATCCTTCCCTTAAATCTAAAACAATTATAAAATAAATATTTGATTTTTTTTAAAAAGCTTCTTAGGGATTCTAATGTGCTGCCAGTGTTGAGAACGACTCCTCAGCCACAGCACTGGGAAGATTGCAGGTATCCCAAGTTAGAATCTGAAATGCATTGCCAAAGGGATTAGTCTGTGTGCTCCCTATCATCACATGGGAATTAAAAAATATGTAGATGCCTGGGCATACTCCAGGTCTATGAATCAGAATCTCCAGGAGAATAAAGGGAAATAAAGCAGACCATGGGTAAGCTTAACAAGCTTCCTGTGTGATTCTGAACTACAGCCCTGGATAAAAACTATTCCTCTTGAAGGATTCCTCAGTGGGTAGGTTAGATTGGAGGTTATAATTAGCAATGTGCTTTGGGTCCACTTGGGGCTCAGTGGGTTTTTGCCTGGAAACCGTAACCCCACCGTGGCATCATTCCTATGGGAAAAAGTGTTTCAAGTTCTAAACCAACAAAGCAGCAATAAAGCTTCTATGTCCCAAAGCCTGGCAGTGGCTTCTGTGTGTTCAGAGAGGGGCTTGTGCTCTCCTTTCCAATGGTGCACTGTGCATTTCCTCCAACAGTTCTACAGCATCAGTGGGATGCCCACAAGGAGCTTGTCAGATAATATCTGCGCCGTCTGTGGGCAGAAGATCATTGTGGAGCTTGATGAAGAAGGGCTCATTGAAAACACCTACCAGCTTTCGTGCAATCATGTGTATCCTTTTCACGGGAAGCCCATCTGGGCTTCATCAAGCCAATGTTGGGAGGCAATTTTCAAATAATCTTTGTTGGGTATAGGAGACAGCAAGTCACGGAAGACTGCTCATCACCTTCCTCCTCCTTCCTCTCCCCCTGTCCCCATCTCCTCTGCCTTGCTTAGCTCCCATCCCCGAACCCCAGGCCTTTATCCTCCTGCCCATCTTTCTTCTTGAGAGTTTCTGATAATCCCTGCTGAATAATGAACTGCTCATTAAGGTGAACCTCCTCCTCCAGTAATTTCCTTTTTAAAAAGAAATCTTAATGCCACACAGAGAGGAAGGCTGCCGCATCTGCTCAGGATGCTGGCTGGGAAAGTTAGCGAAGCCATAAGTGAACAGACAGCCAAGAAGGACCAGGGAGTGAAGGGGTTTGGGGGTGAGAAATAGAGTGAAGTTTCTGATGCAGAGAGGAACTCAGGACTGTCCAGGTGGAGCCCTGTGTCTGAATCTCACGGGACCAAGAACAACAAAGTGTGCTTTGCCTGGAAATAATCCTAGGAACCTGTTGTGTCAATAGTGGTAACAGGGGCAGCTAAGTATCAGCTTTGGTCTTGAAAAGAGGATGATGCCACAGGCAGTAGGACATCTGAGATTAAAAAAGGAGGGACCAAAACTTGAGCACCCAGTTCTTGGACTATTTGGCTGCTCTGCCTGTGGGTTCTGCCCCAAATAGCCATCTATTAGCTGAGGGATCTTTAGGTGTTAGAGACCAGACAAGCCTGGGCCTGGAAGCCAGCATTCTCTGGGAACTCCAGTAACCATTGAGGAAGACCTCAATATGTGGAAAGATGCTGGGATCAAGAGCTCTGAGCAAAGCAGCCTGTGCTGCCTGAGCATGTAACTCTGGATACCAAAGTTGTGTTTGCATTGGCCAACAATCAGTATTTTAATTCTTTTCTAAATACAGGAAAAAAAGGCATTATTTAACTTTATTTTATAGTACAATATCAATTTTATAATATTGCTATACATTCAGTCACTTCAAAGCTCTGGCATTATGAGGTGGTCCAACTATCTGTCTTTTGCCTCTGAAGCCCACCTAACTCAGTAATACCCTAGATGTGCAGCACCGATGTTCAATTCTGTTTAGTCTGGACAGATTCCATTATTCAATCCTGAGAATAAAAAACTGGACCAAATGCATCTGAAATGTAATAGGAGCCCTTACTCCAACATTTAAGCCTTAACAACGATATCCCATATGGAATTCTATGGTGGTTTTTCAGTGTGATACTTTCCCAAAAAACTATCATTCTTAGTAGAAATTTTCCAAGTCTGGCCCTCGTTTTAAGTATGATTTACTTTTCAAATGTTGGAACAGAGCCCCTTCTGCCATTTGCAAGTGGAAATATTTTCTCTCTCCACCTTTAAAAGCCCTGAGGGATTGTTGTACATGTGTGCATATGTAATCTAAAATGTAGTCACCTTTAAATTTGCTTTGCAGGGAGTATTATTAATGGCCCATTTTAGCATGAGTCATATTAGCAAGGAGTGGGCAAGCATGAGTCATATTAACAAGGGGCAGGGGATTCTGAGCGTTGCTCTGCAGCAATTCTGCCAGCATAGAGGCTTTTTAGCATCAAGATTTTGAAGATGAAAGACAACATTAAAGAGGAGGTGGACATTTCAGTGCTGGCTCTATGACCTCTGAACTCTATACCTATCTGGATGATGGGGCCATACATCAGCCCTTTTGAATGAAGGGCTATATGGGTTTGGGTTCAAAATATTTGTTATAATATACCACTTGATGTCAACCCAAACATATCGCCAAAGTGACCCCAATTCCAAGAACATAAAATAGTGGAAACTCTTACTTGCAGACAGATCTAATATTGAGGAATTATATACATGGCCTTGACTTGTCTACACCTCCATGATCCTCTATTTGTTAGGGTGGGGACTTGTACATCATTGCTGTTCACGTGGGTGTATAGCAGGCCAGTCAGAAGATCATGTGATCTTGATCCAGAAAACCACATTGGGATCAATGACTGTAGAAATAAATCAATCAATAGGTTGGATCTCATTATAGTTAGTCATTTTTCCCATATCTACAATCTCGTAGAACCTGGGAGAATATATTTGCAAAGTAATGTTTTGAGTGCTTCATTCAAATATTTGTTCAATGAGTAGGTACTTAGGCGCTGCTTAAGGTGCTGAGCACAGAGATGAAGGAGATGTAGTCCCACAGGTGGCATATGGTCCAGGAGAGACACGTAAGTAGACAGAAAGGCAAGATACAGTGCGATATGTGCTCTAAAGGAGTAAGTCCCTGGTGTGTGGGAAAACATAGGGTTCACTCTCAACTTTGGGGGCAAAGGGTAAAACTTTCTGAACAAGGGGATGTATACAAATGAATTTGTAAATGCCTAGAGTTTCAGAAGTTTATTAGGTTTATATACTATTAAAAATAACTGGCTCCTTATCAGCAATAAAAAAAGTTAAGAAAAAATTTATGAAGCTAATAGAAATATTTGTAAGTTTATGACCACAAATAATTTAAACTTGTCTAAATGCCTAAGACAAGTCTGGTCACATAGTAGGTAATAAGTAATGCACGAAAAGTAGAATGGGGAAATGCTATGGAAAATGCACACTAAGTGAGGCAGGGAAATACAGTAATACATTTACATAAGATATTACTGTAAAAAAGCCCTTTCCCATTCTTTATCTAATTTTATTCTTACGAGAAGCAAGTGAGGCAAGAACAAGGCCAAGAAGCTAAGTAAACTCCTCAGGATCAGAGAGCTATTGCAGCCCTGGCTCCAAGCTCACAATCCTTGGGGGTTCCATTGTCCTACAGAATCTCCTTAAAAAAGTGATGTGCGCAATCAAGTCGTGACTGACAGCCATTCTCACCCTCCACTACTCCACCCTACAGATGGGATCACTTCCATTATGTCTTCATGAGGCAGACCTTGCCCTTTAATATCTAGAAGCTTCCCTAACAAGATGCCTAAGCTTTCATGAATTCTGCATCCGAGGTTGGTGTATTGTTGGTAAAAAGCAGACTTGCCCTTACTGCAAAGAGAAGGTTGATTTGAAGAGGATGATCAGTAACCCGTATCCTTTTTTTAACAAGTTTCAAAATATTATCTTAAATGGTGATGCTTTCTTCAATATAAAATTTCATTATCTTTGTTATAGTTATAACAGAAAACTTTCTGTTTTCCCTAACCACTTATTTCAAAGTGACTTACTGGTCTTTTTTCTCCCCTGTGTTACTATTCTGGTTAGGAACTTAAATGTCAAAAAAGATACTTTCTACTCTTTATATTCCATATGTTCCACTGTAAGAGCTTTAGTGGAGAGGGGACATTGCAGAAGACAGGTAAATATATGGAAGGATAAGATAGATGATAGATGGATAGATTAGATAGATAGATTAGATAGATAGACAGACAGACAGACAGATGAAGATAGGTAATTTGTAGATGACATGGGTGGGTAGATAGATAGATAGATTGGAATTGAAATTTTAAAAGCCCCAAATGTGAACAAGAGTACAGGAAAGTATTCTTAAGGTGTACCAAAATTTATTATTTCCAGAAATGAGTAGGGTTTTTTCCCCCTGGATTTTGGCTTTTTAAATTCTTTGCCATGCCTCATCTTTTCTTAGACTAAACCTTAGTGATAATAATATTGAAAGGAAGTGAAGACCTACAGACTTGGTCAGCTTATGGCAGCAACTAGGATTTTTATAGACACGAGGGATTCCCAACTGAATAAACCCAAGTCTCATTAAGACCACAGGAAGGTAATGTCCCCATCCAGGGCTGACTACAAAGACTTAGTCCTCAACCCCACTGGCCCAAGACCATAATGTATCTCTTCCAGGGGGGTAAATGGGATTAAAACATATCTCCCCTTAAGCAGAAGAGCATTGAGAGGTTGGCATTTGCCTGCCAAGTACTCTCTCTGCTCATTAGAGACAGCCTTTCAATACTTTCTGTGTCCCAGTCACCTAAATTTCACAGTGCCAAAGGAGTCACCTTGCTTGCTCTCTGCTCCCCCTACTCTTCACCAACCCTAAATGTACAGGTTTTTTTGTTTTTTTATTTTTGTTGTTTTTTTGGGGGTTTTTTTGGTGAGGAAGATTAGCTCTGAGCTAACATCTATTGCCAATACTCCTCTTTTTGCTGAGGAAGATTGGCCCTGGGCTAACATCCATGTTCATCTTTCTCTACTTTATATGTGGGACGCCTGCCATAGCATGGCTTGATAAGCGGTGTGTAGGTCCGCACCAGGGATCCGAACCTGTGAACCCTGGGCCACCGAAGCGGAGTGCGCGAACTTAACTACTATGCCACTGGGCCGGCCCGCCTAAATATACAGTTTTAATAATGGCTGTTGGCAGCAATGCCCCATCTCTGAGGACTGCAAATCAAGGGAAGACTTTAAGTAAGGCAGCAGAGGAGGCAGCATTGATGGGTCTTTGGGTCTCTGAGCCTTGCCATAGCAACAGAGAACACACTCCGAAGCCACCAGCGCCATCCACACACCTGGCCTTTCTTGGTGAGTCAGTGCAACTCAAGCACCACCGAGGCTAAAGGTGTGGGATGCTCCTTCCTCCTTCCCTCTCATCCACTCTCTGAGTTTCCCTTCAGAGGAGGGAGACTGAGGAGACTGAGTCCAGAACCGCTTTTGATTAATACTTTATAAAACTACAGTACATACATCTTTGTTATAACATTGGTGATAATATGATCATAAATGTCACCTTAAATGATCATTTAAATAACAAAAGAGAAATGATTTCTTTATATAGTCTTGAGAGAATAAACTTTTGAATATTACATGTACTCTTTTTACTGAGACTCAGAAGAAAAACACCACATGTGAAAAACCAGCCTTTATGTGTGTAACATGGCTACCAGAAATGCTATGTTTTAAGTCCCTTTAGCACAGTTTATCAAAGATACCAGGAAAAGGTACATCTTATCTGTGAACTCATGTTTTTCTTCTTAATAAATAATGAGTTTCCTCTGATGAGCTGACTACAGGAAAGCCCAGAGCTGTTTTTGCTCTCTTATAGCAGCTTCCATTATCCTCGGTTTTCCTACGTAGTCATTTCCCTCTTCCTCTTTCTTTTAGTATATGACCTCTGCTTTTTATTCTTGTTTTATAGTTTGAGATTTTATTGTAAATTGTTTCGATTTATTTTTGGAAATTAGGTGTAGTGTAAATAACAATGATAATCAAACACTATAAATATCACGCAAGGGGCTTTTAAATGAGCACACAGAATTAACAAGAAAGGAAATACCCACTCATGACATTGCATATTATATTTGCAAATGACATTTATGAATATTTCTGCTACTCGGCTGTGTATGGCACAACCTCCTTAACTGAGATTTAGCTGGGAGCGCACACACTTTTTGTATGGACAGATCCTGGATTGGCTTCGTTATTTGGTGGCCTGGCAACCCGTGGTGATAGGAATAGTTCAAGGCATTAACTATTCTCTAGGGCTGGAATAGTACAGCTGCCCTACCCCAGAAGCAACGTACTGCATGTTGAAATACTTTTAAATCCTTGATCCTACATTTAATATTGATATTCCTTTTTTAATTTTAGAGATGATCCCAAGAGTTTAGAGAACTGAATAAAATGTGGTTTCCTACATAAGCCAATTGGTCTATGTATAAAGAATTTAACGGGAAGCTGAACAACAGAATAAACAAAGCGTGCTTGCATGTTTCCCATTATGATTGTTTTCTAATCAATGCTTGCGACACATTTGTTACAGCCCACCATGGACGTCCCACCTCTAGGTTGGCTGACAATGATCTCATCTGTGAAGTGTTTCAGAGGTTTGCAAAGAACTTCTCACATACAACATGTAGTTGTAACTAATACGTTCTGATCAGTTCAACATCTTCAAAGTAGACAGAGTTGTTAAGTAATCGGTGGTTTAAGGATGGGTCCTTTCTACTCTTTGTGCTTGTCACCACGTGGCAGCTTTGGCACCACAAAGCCCTTCTGTATAGAGAGGATTACTCCCCAAACCTCTAGCATGAGATGCCACAGCCCACTCCATGGGCCAGAGCTACAGTGGGGTTCCTGGGCCTGCCAAATGCACTCAACCCATCCAAGGACTGCACTAAAGTGGAAAGAAGCACCCTCTTCTTTTGTGCTACTCTGTTCACACACGCACACACACATGCACATGCACTTATTGCCGTGCTCTGCTTTTACTCTCTTCAGAGCACTTATCAATACCTGAAATCATAGCATGGATTTGTTTGTTTATTGTTTGTCTTCCCCTCCGTGAAGGCAGAGAATATATCTGTTTTGTTCCCTACTGTATCTCCAGCACTTGGAGCAATGCCTGGTGCATAACAGTCATTCAATGAATATTTGCTGAAAGAATGAATTAATCCAGCAGGCGGGAACAAAATGAACAAAATAAGGAAGCACAGTCAGAAAGAATTAACCCAATAATGATATGTTGGACTCCCAAAATTAGTTCTGGGATTATTTTAAATTACTGGTCATTTGTTAAACAGCCAACACCATATACATAATGCCAGACTCTGCAATACTTGAAGACATTACATTTGTATGAAGTAGAAAGGAAACACCCTATTGTCAAAAATATTGGCAATGTGCTTAACTTAGTATTACTAAAGTTCCATCATAGTTGTAACAAAGAAAATTCACACTAAGATTTCTACCTGTTGGTAATTTTCCTTCTTGAAACTGCCCAATGCTTCCGTATTATGATTGGTTCACCATTCAGATTACTAGAAGATCTGACTCTGGTTTATTTCTCTACTCGGCAAACATTTCAAGAGTTCAATTCTTATTACATTACCAGGCAGGTGCGAGGGTTAAGGATATAAAACAAGACTCGACTTTATAGTCTATTGACAAATAAAAGACCTCATAGTTGGACAGAGTGCTAACTAAAAAGTTAGAGTTTATCTTATGTAAAAGAAGGAGTCCTTAAATTGACCTCTGATGTATTTGCCACTTACCTTTTATGAACAGCTGCATGAGGGTGGCTTTTAGAACGCTTTAGAACTCTGGGCAAGTAAACCAGTATGTATCTGCATGGAATTCTGAATGACCCTCAGAGTTCAGAAATGTTAGATAATAATAATCAAACAATCTAAGAAAAAAATAAAGATGCTATTTTCTTTATACAGTTTAAGTATTTAAAATCTAACCCCAATTTTGTGAAGATATATATATATATATATATGTATGTATTGCAGAGCTATATAGTACATAGTTGCCAGTGGTTATCCCAAGGTGAAGGGTTAAGAGCTGATTCCTATTTTCCTTTATATGTTTTCATCTCTTCCAAAATTTCTAGTGAACATGTTTAACATTTGCAATGAGAAAAATAAAGTCTATTTTTAAAGATTTTATTTATTTATTTATTTCCCCCAAAGCCCCAGTAGATAGTTGTATGTCATAGCTGCACATCTTCTAGTTGCTGTATGTGGGACACGGCCTCAGCATGGCCGGAGAAGCGGCGCCTCGGTGCACGCCCGGGATCCGAACCCGGGCCCCCAGCAGCGGAGCACACGCACTCAACCGCCAAGCCACGGGGCCGGCCCTAAAGTCTATTTTTAAAATATTACTTTAAATCTATCAATTAACTATGAAGTTCTTTCTATTGCTGTCTAAATTTTTTAATTTGGAAGTTTTGTTTTTTTTATTACGGTCCCATTGGTTTATGACATTATATAAATTTCAGGTGTACATCATTATATTTCAACTTCTGTACAGACCACATCGTGTTCACCACCAGAAGTCTAGTCGCCATCCATCGCTGTACACATGTGCCCCTTTCCTCCTTTCCCCCTCCCTCTGCTCCCTTCCCCTCTAGCTGTTTAAATTATCGAAATTAAATCTACAGATCAAGTCCATATTAAATTTATCTGGTTCTCATGATAATTAACATTTGCTTAATGTAGGAAATAGAGAAGTAAAGCAAAAAAGTCCATTATCGTGTTTGGTTTCTGTGGCATCTCCTCAAGTTTCCTTCTCCTGAACTTGCCTGTTTTTTTCTTAGGCTGGCTACTGTTTCCTCCATAACACTCTCCCAGGAGTTTGTATGAGAGAGAAGAAACACTATGTGAGTTTCCCAAGGACTAAAGCCTGTGATGCACTTAATGAACTTACTGCTTTGGGATATTCTTCTGCAAACAACAGGGTCCCTTATATCCTTGCTAGTACCCATAATAGAAAAATACCCATCTACAAGCCATAATATATAAGGAGACACATCACTTCTTGGAAAATAATAATAGCAGCTAACAACTACTACAGGCATCTCTGTCACCCCGTGCAAGCGCCCCACAGTCTCCATTCTCATAGGCGTGCACCTCTTGCCCTCCTCACCCCTCCAGGGGGAATGGTAACCAAGGGGTGTGCACTCAGTGGTTTACTTACATTACTGTACATAATATCTACATCATACCCTATGATGTAGATATTATTATACCTATCTTAAGGACAGGAAAATAGCTGGGATCAGGTTAAGTGACTTGCCCAAAGATACACATCTACTAACCCAGGTCTTTCTGACTCCAGAGCCCAATTAACCAACAAACGCAGTTCTGGCTGAGAATTGACCAGGGTCAGAGGAGGTTCATTTCCTTTCACTTGTGGTTCTCGGTTTAAGAAGAAAGTTGCACCAATCAGTAAATAGCTCTTAGCTTTTAAATGTAATGCATTCATTGCATTAAATTTAATGTATTATTAAATCTAGATTATAAAAGTTAACATATGGAAGTAGTAGCTATCTTTTGAATTATTGTGTATCAAATATTTTTTGAGTCATTATGAGGAACCCATAGGTATATACTTGTTTAAAAATCTGTTTAGCTTACATGTATTTTTATAAATTTTCAGAAGAAAAAGAAAAGGAAGACTTTTTTAGAATCAGAAAAAAGACTTTTCAAGGAAGAAAAAAGCAACATGATGCAAGGGTAACAGACAGGAAGACAGGAACCAAGAGCCAAAATAACCAGATGCTAATTAGAACTTCCCATGTAGTTAAAGGATGAAGGAGGCTCAGACTCAGGGATATGGGACGCTTCTTTCAATTTCTTCTAAATTGAGTATTTTATTAACATCCCTGGTTTCATTTTCATGGATAGACATAATTAACTGTATCTTGTGTTATGTACCCTCTCTCAAGTAACTATGGCCAGAGAAACCTATCAAGTACTCAGAAAGACCCAGTCCACCCTCTAGGTCTTCTGTATCTTGTAAAGTTTAATGGGGACACACAACACTTTTTTCTAGGAATAACAACAAGTTTGGCTGAGTGACCCAAACATTTTGCCTTGCTGCTCTTGAGAGCAGCAGTCACACACAGCTAGGTGGGATGGAGAATGCCATCTATAGACACGGATGCATCTCCTTGCAGAAAGCTGACGGACACATTCATCTGAAATCTTCTGATCATTTGTGCTATTTCCTAATGAACTAAGGCAATTGCTACAGACAACTAAGATATCAATCATGGACTTAGATCTTGATTATCTCATAGGATAAAGAAAAATCAAAAACCATTTTTTTTCCAATCTGGTAGCAGTTTTTATAAAACAGCACTCTAGACCAAATTTGAACAGTTTCAGTAGTTTTAGTAAGCAAAGCCTCAAATGGCAGTACATTCATGTGGTTTACATATAATTGTGTCAGAATGGGCTTAGTTACAACTAGTGATATGAAGACCACCACCAGACCAAGACTGGCCTTTACAAGACTGGCCTTTACTGAAGGAACCTAGGACTTGATGGCAGCTCTCAAATTTAACCAAAACCCTTCCTGCTGAGCTTCATCAGTGGGCCACTCCAGGTAGGTCTTGGTGTTCATTATCTTCCGCAGCTTACAGAAACGCTGGGGAATGGCCTTTTTCTCAATGGGCTCCAGAAGAACGAGAATGGCAGCATCATTGTTCTCATCAAAGAGACGAAAATGGGAGAAGTCCAGTTCGTACTTACACCACTCACTCTTCACAAAGTTTTCAGAAAGCACAAAGATCGTTTTGTGGCTCTTTTCGATGGAGTCAATGATATTGTCAATAATCCATTTGCCAGGAATAAAGTCCCGCTTGTGAAGACACAACTTAAAGGGAGGGTTGAAGTGCTCCAGCTCCTGGACCAGGAGGTTCTCCACCCAGTAGGAATCCCGTTCACTATAAGACACAAAAGCGTCATAACAGATTTCCCTTTGGGGAGCTTTCCTGGGCTTCCTCTTGGCCTGGAGCCAGGCCCACATCATTTTCATGTACCACAGGCCATGGAAATGGTGGCACAGAACCCCAGTGAGCAGGATCAACAGGAAAAGGGCACAGCACACGGCAGACACCAGAGCTGTCCTGTGGCATTCAGAGACCGAGAGACGAGTGTCCCGAACCCGCTGGCCCCGCACGTGGGATGGAGAGTCACACAGGTAGTTTTCTGGCCAGTCGATCAGGATCTGGTCCAGTGCTTGCTCCTTCTGAGTGAAAGACAGGAATTCACAGGAGCAAATGAAATTGTTGCCGCCAGCTTCCAAAGTCTTCAGTTTCTGAAAAGAATCAAGTTGCTCCTTAGAGAAAGTATTTATTGTATTTCTGCTGATTCTCATGACTAGTAACATGGGTAAGGAGGAGGCATCTGGTAGAGTCTTCAGCTTATTTCTGGAAATATAAAGTTCTTTGAGTTGTGGCAAAAACAAAGAAAATGAATTGAGATTGTTATTGCTAATATCTAAAACTTCCAGTGTCTGGGGAACGCATTGGGTTAAACGATTTAGTCTTGTGCTGGATAAGTTCAAATATTTCATCTTTTCCGGCCACTGACAAGTTTCAGGCATAGGATGAAAACTATTCTTGCTGATGTCAAGCTTAGTCAGGTTTTTCAGAGTAAGCAAAGTTTCTCCAGTTTTTCCTAACGATGTCAAATGATTTTGCCTTAAAATTAAGGTTTGTAGGGAGGGCCAAGCATGCTCACAGGCTGAGTTTTTCAAGTATTCCTCAACCATTAAATTGTCACTGAGATCCAAATATTCTAATGATTTTAAATGTTGTGAAAGTGAACAAGGAACCAGGAAAACCTTACTGTTTTCTATTATGATTCTTTTAACTCTTCCTGTAAGTGAATAAATAGTACTCAGATCATAAAATAAGTAAAACTTTGGAATACGCAATTTCCGTATTGTTAGTGTCTCTAACCTACCTAGATTTTTAATTTTGTCCCTATCGGGTATCCTAAAATTACCAAGTCCGTTAAGGGTACAGTCATCAAACTCTAATTCGAACTCTCCAGAAACGTAATTCAACAGTTTCACAACTTCATTAAAACTTTCATCAGTGATTTCCACATTTCTAAATGTGAACTTTTTAATCAATGTATTGGTTTCATCGTCAGGTACTTCTGCAAAACGGAAAGTGTTTAAATGAGTATCTCTCAGTTCCAAATATTCCGAGGAACTTAAAAGATCTAGAAAAATCTCTGGTAGTAAAACAGGCTGCTTCATACGAAGGATCAGATGACTGATGTTCTGAATTGTCTTCAAACTCTTGGGCTCATACCGCTGGAGATTTGAAGCATCAATTTCAAGTTCCTCAAGAAAAGTTAGCCCAGCAAAATCCTTTTCCTGAATCTCAGTGAAGTCAGGATGTCCTACTTTCAGGATTCGCAAATTCGTGAGGTGAGAAAAAAGAGATGTTTCCCCAAGTATTCTGTAGGCATTTCCCAGTAAGTTTAAGAATTTCAAAGAAGAAAGGGACCTGAACCAGGAGGAGGATAAATTAGATAAGCGATTATAGGATAAGTCCAAATGTTCGAGACTCCCCAGGGAGAAAAAAGAGTCATCCTCTATTGTGTTAATTTCATTGGCCCCCAGCCTCAGGGCCTTGAGGTTCACACACCTCCGCAGGTCACTGTTCCCAACATGGGCGATCCTGTTGTTGGACAGGTCAAGACTTTTCACAGCTGCCGTGAGCCCTGAGGGGATGGAGTTTAAAGATCTGGAGCGGCCATCGCAGATACCAGTGGGGTCACAAGACAGAGAATGAGGCTGACCAGCGGCCCCTTCCTTGAAGAAGCTGATTACGGCCCCCAAAACCCACACTGTCCACAAAGCATGCAGCATTGTCCAGTGATTCAACCTACAAATAAAAGAGGGTCAAATGAGTGATTGTGTTTGACAACATATCGTAATTCCAGTTCTTGAGAAATGTGTTGTAAGGCGTAACACAAACACACACACACACACACAGAGCTACCAGGAAATAACAGAGAGGCACATGAAATGTATGAATGGGGATAAAAAATGAATTCCCTGACGCATCCAACAACACTAACACAGATAGACTGTACTGTACAATGACTTAAAAGCACAATACCATCTGAGAGTACAGAGTGGGACTCAATAAACATGGGTTGAAAGAATGAGTGAATGAATGAATGGAGGAATGAACAAGCAAGCATTTTAAGAAATGGGCTAGGCTTAACCATACGGATTTACAATCACCTATATCTGCACTTCACACCGTTTTATATTTAAGCATGCCTCTTCCCTGCCTCAGTGCCTCCCAGGAGTAGGAGATCTCACAAAGCCAAACCACAGCTCTCATTGGATAACTATTCACTGAATGCAGCTCCAGGAGTAGCATGCTTTTTGACCAAAAGAAAAAGGTCCCATTTTCCTCAACCCTGTCTGGCACCTACTACTAGCAGGCAGGCCCATGCAGAGCAAGGTGGTTTGCTGGGCTGAGGAACAATCAGGCCATCAGAACCTTCTCTTCTTGCAGAGGTGTGCGTGCAGAAAGCAGTGCTTTAGTCTGGATGGGGCTGTTCCGATACACGTGGGGGAAATAAAGCTGTCTGCACACTCTCCACAACTGCCAGTTTCCTTTCAACCATGAATCCAACACTTGCTCTCTGCCCACCTTCTGGGCCCTTTATCCTTCTTTGGCTCTATTCAGCGCTCTCGTTCTTTGCATCTGTCCTCCTTTGTCTGTATTTGTTCACTGCATTAACTCTACAAAAAAAAAAAAAAATTGTATTAATTTAATCCAAGAATGCCACTGCTTTGCATCCCCTCCTGTCGAATTTTTTAGATAAATGTGGTCATACCATGCATATTTCTTCTGGATTTTCATTTCTCATCTAAAACTATAGCCTGACATCTTTCTTATGTCAAGTATATAGAGACATTTCTGGTTTTTTCTCCAACAGATCACAGCGTTTCATAGTAGGGATACACCATAATTTGCGTTCCCATCAGCACTGCAGGAGAGTTCCAGTTCCTCTACAACTTGCCATCATTTTGCGCTGCCAGTCTTTTTAATTTCAGCTGTTCTGGTAGGTAGGTCCTGGTATCTCACTGTAGTCTGGATTCCATTTCCTAGACTAATAATGGGTCTGAACACCTCTGCATATGATCCTTTGGAAATCCTCATTTATAAGGTGCCTGTTTCAGCCTCTGGCCCATTGTTTTCTATTGGGTTGTCCTTATTATAATTATTAAATTATAGGGGCTCTTTATATACTCTGTAAATGGAAGATATATGTGTTACAAATATCTTCTTCCACTCTGTGGTTTGCCTTTTCACTTTCTTAGTGGAATCTTTTGATGAACAGATGTCATTAAATTTTCTATTTTGTTTTGTCATAGTGATTTTTGTGGCCTGTTTAAAAAATCTTTCCTACATTATCATGAAGATATTCTCTTTATTATTTTCCAAAATCTTTATTGCTTTGCCTTTCACTTTTAGGCGTATAATCTGCCTGGGATTAATATTTGAGGTAGCACACAGGATTCATTTTTTTTTTTCAATATGGATATTCAATTGACTCAGCACCATTTTTAAAAAGATCATTTCAAGGAAACAATCCACAATATTACCTTTGCCAACAGTCACATGTCCTCATAGGGGTGGGTCTGTTTAAGTGCTCTCTATTCTGATCCAATGTCTATTTCTCTATCCTTGTATTGGTAGTATGCTATATTAAATATACAACATATCTTAATATCCAGGAGAGCAAGTCCTTCCTTCTTGTTTTTCTTCTTCAAGTGAGTCTTGGTTAATCTTGGCCCTTTGCATATTCTTATAAACTGCAGAACCAATTTATCAGTTTCAAAAACAAAACCTGTTTATTTTAATTGGCAATGTCATGAATCTGTAGATCAATTTGGGAATTACTGACATCATTACAATGTTGAATCTTCCAATCCATGAGCATGCTCTATCTTTCCACTTATTTAGGTCTTCTTTAATTTATCACAATAATATCCACGGTTTTCTGCATAGAAGTCTTGAGCATACTTTGTGTGATTTATTCCTAGGCATCTGATACTTGCGAAGCTTTGAAAATAGTATTACCTACTTATATGTGGCATATACATATATATGTAGAAATTCAATTAAATTTTATATATTTACCATGCACTGAGCAACCCTGCAAATTTAGTAATTCCACAGTTTGTAGATTCTTTTTTATTTTCTATGTAGACGGTCAGATCACCCAGATATAATAATGGTTTTATTTCTTTTTTCCAATCTTTATACCTTTATTTCATTTTCTTGATTACTGAATGTGAACTTCATCAAATTCTTTTTTTCTTCCTATATCTACTGAGATAATAAATGAATTTCCTCCTTTTCTTTTTTAATAAATACTGGTGATTACATTAATCAATTTTAGTGTTAAGACAATCTTGCCTTGTTAGAATAAACTCAAGTTAGTCTGGAAGTATTATCCTTTTTATATATTGCTGGATTTTATTTACTAATATTTTGTTTAGAATTTTTGCATCTATATTCAGAAGTAAAATTGCCCTATAAATTTCCTTTCCTTTCCTTTCCTTTGGTACAGAATTCACCAATGCTGTCTTCTGAGTCTGCCATTTTTGTTGTTGTTATTTGTTCGTTTATTTTGTTTTTGTCAAATACATTAAATTTATTTAACAGCTATGGAACTATTCAGATTTTCTTATTCTTCTTCTTTTGGTAAGTTGTGTTTTTCAAGAAATTTATCATTTACTTTTAAATTTTCAAATTTTTTGACACACTTATAATATCCTCTTATTATGTTAATGTCTGCAGGATCTATAGTGAGGTCCCCTATTTTATTCCTTAGATGAGTTGTTCGTGCCCGCTTTTTTTCTTGATTGTCTTGCCAAAGGTTTATCATTTTTATTAGCGTTTTCAAAAACTCTTCTCACTTTATAGAATTTTTTATTTCATTAATTTCTATTCTTATATTACTATTTCCTTCCTTTTGCTTTCTCTAGATTTATTTTACTGTTCTTATTCTAATTTCTTGAGGTAGATGTTTGCTCATTAATTTTCTGCCATTCGTCATTTCTAATATATCCATTTAAGGTCATAAATTTTCATCTAAGCATTAGTTTTGCTATATCTTCCATGTCTCTTTCTCTTCTGTTCTTTTCGTACTTTTTTCTCTTCACATTTCAGTCTAGATATTTTCTTCTGATCTATTTTCCAGTTTATTATTCTTTCTTCAGCTGTGTTTAGTCTAGCTGTGTTAAATCCATCCACTGCTTTTACATTTTTTTGGTTATTGTCACTTTCATCTGTATAATTTATAGTTGGTTCTTTTTCACAACTGCTCTGTCATTTTTTATAACTTCCAATTCTCTGCCAAAATTTTCCATCTTGTCTTTTCTCACCTTGAACACAGTAAGCATGTTCTGATAGGCTGCACAGCACTTTTGACACCCTTGAAGGACAGGGAGATAAAAGTTAAGGTCTGGGGCAGTGATGGATGGGACAGGTAAGGCTGAACTAGAAGAAAACAAGTCTTCACACAGCTTTGATTTATCTGGATGGCTCAGACAGTCCCAGTCTCTGTAAATGGATTAAGATGATTTCTGGAATGCTGGTACTCATGGGTACCTGCAGAAGGAAAGGAAAATTTTCTCTAGAAGAAGATAGCATAATCCTAGGCCTCAAATTTCCTTCTACAAACAGTTTTTCAAATACAATGTCCAGTACAAAATAAAAAAAACAATCAGGTACTAAACGAAGCAAGATAATAAGTATGAGGAGCAGAAACAGCTGACACTAGAAACTAACCCATAGAGGCTAGAGCTCTAATATTGTACCTACCTCTAAAATCGACAGGGTTAAGACGAGATGCTTATTACTATCCAGTACTATAGCTATCCCATTGTCTTTCTGCTTAATCAGTTATTGAAAAAAAACCCTCTTAGTATAATTGCACTGGGCAAACAAAATTCATTTGATTTTTTCCATTCTGTAATAAATAGCACAAATCTTAAGAAATCTATATCAGTTTTTAGCTAAGCTTTAGATTAAATACCTTTTTTTCTAATTTGTCCTAGTCTTTTCTCTTTAAAACGTAAAATTTATGAGAGCAGAGATCTTGAGCTATTTCATACAAATATTATATGGTACCTATTGCAATGTGGGTTTTCAACAAATAATAATTATTGATGATGCTAAAACTATGGTTAACAACTTGACACTTAAGATCAGAATTACTTCTCTCTCCACTCATTTCCCCACCACATTGCAGCACAGGGCCAAGAACCTCTCATTGTAAGACACTGAGAAATGGAAGGGCAATGGCTAAAGTTAGACTGAATAGAGTCAAATCTAATGAGGGTTGTGGGGTGGGACAAAGTATAAAAATTGTCTACTTAAAGAATTCAGAAAGTTGACAGAGTGGTAAGGAATTATTGGTCCAAGACCCCAGAAAGGATGGAAGTCTGAGAAATAAGCCTGGTATTACAGGCAACTTATGCTGTGGACATCTGCTGATCCAGGATACACAGGAAGTTGAAGCTACAGTGAAACCATGACCAGATACCCACTTTAGGGCTAGGGCTGTAATGCCTGGGTGAAGCATGAAAGGAGAAGGGACTCATGGTCCAGCGCATGGCAGAGAACTGAAAGTGGACTCTCCATAAAGCCATCTGCAGGGAAAAGGTTACACCTTATGTGAATAGGAACCTAAAAAATCTCTGCCCTCTGGCCCAGGGTCTCAACCTGCCTGGAAGGAAGCCTATGAGAAATCTCCTATAAGAAATCAGAACCCCAGGCCTGCCACATATGCTGGTGTGGATCCAAATATTAAAAGGTATAATAAACTAAGATTTTTTCAGAATTGAAGAAAAACATAAGTCCCCAAATTATAAATGCACATTGAATCCCAAACAAAAAAAGATTAAAAATTCCTCACCCAGCCAAAAAACAATGAAATAATATCCTCAAAGGGCTGAGAAAACATATCTGTCAATCTAAATGTCTATACCCATTTAAATTATCATTCAGGAGTAAAGGTGAGATAGACATTTGCAGACATTCAAAAACTAAAAAGAATTTTTATCCATAGACTCTCATTGAAAGAAGTACCCAAAAACATATGTTCTTTGGCAATCTGGAAAATGAACCTGGTAAGAGGAGGCAGCAAGCAGCAACAATTGAATTGTTTAAATGTAATAACAGATAAGAAAGAAGACAGCACTCAAAAACTCAGATGTGGCTTTTCAATATGAGGGAATAGTACTGTAAACTCTAAATTATATCGTGGGGAAAAAAACCATAATTTTGACAAGCAAGCCTACTATTTGGAAGGAGTAAATACAACTTATATTTATTAAAAGATATGAGGAGGTCACATCCAGGATGTCATACACAATAAATCATGTCCAATCACTAAAATCAAAACAAGATATTTAACCAACAAAGCCAAATTCTTTTTTTTTTTTTTTGCCTTGGGCAGATCACTTCTCATCTCTGAATCTGACTTCCCTCAGTTGCAACATGATTTCTTCATTTCTGAGGCCCTTCCTCATTTAAGGAGTTTATATCTAAAGGGTCTAACTTTGGAGATAGTTCTAGCAGCTGACCCATAATTCTGACCCATTATTACTCTTTGTGTTGCTTTTAACTTTCATCCTTCCCAAAAACAAATTAAATTACCTGCTTCGGAGTATTAAAAGCACTCAGCTATTGGATGGCTACCCCAGAAAAAAATCTTCTCTGCCTCACTCTGCAGAAAGTACAGATAGTGGATTCTTGTATA